GTGTGTGTGTGTGTGTGTGTGTGTGTGTGTGTGTGTAAGAATTTCAGTTCTTTGGGGTAAACGTATAACAGTTTCCTCATCAAAAATGCACAAAGACTTAAAGAAAACAAGATGATTTTTTTAAATATTTTTAATAAAGGCAGATGAGATGCAAATTATTTCATCCTGAATGTGGATTGTGTCAAGTTTCTAGTCCAGGGGCCTCATGTATCAATGGTGCGTATGCACAAAAACCTTGCATACGCCATTTTCCACGCAAAACTCCGGATGTATCAAAACTCAACTGACCATGGAAATGTGCGCAGCCCCACTCCAACTCCAGGGCTGACGTATGCATGTTTCTGTGGTTCTGGTTCCATTGGCGACACTTAGAGGTGATTCTGAGAAACTGTTCATGATGTGAAAGTGATTATTGTTCACACCAGACACACATGATTAACAATTATTTCATCCGCATGGACGCAGTTAAATAAAGGACTCGCAAAGTTGCACCAAAAATACATTTAACAGGGACAGATTCAGCCTTACTGCAGTATTTAATAAATAGTGTAACACGCAGAGCATTTATTTATAAACAGATATAATTTTCTGATCCATGATGACAACTGGCTCATCAGCTGTTTTGAGGAAAAATCATTTTTCAGTTTGGCACTGCGGCGCTCTGGAGTGCAACACACCAGTGCGCATGCACATGGCATGAGCAGCAGCAGCAATTGAACAGGGGTTCCACGAGGGCTTTCCAAAGGGAGCTGGCAGACCGATCGGGACTGTGCCAGTCCAGTCCACCCAAAGCAGAATCATGACCAATGGAACGGTCTCATCCATCTGATTCTAACACTCCAACATCATGTGACGTCATGAAAACTCTCCACTGAGGCGCAGTGACTCATTTCTTCATATCAGTTATGAAATAAACAAAAATTTACGTTCTACCAAACATTCAAGTTCCTCTGTTCCTCTCTAATTATGATAATAAACTCGTGCGTAAAGTTAATATTTCCAGGCTCAGAATGGATGGATGTGCTGGCTGCGCACCACAGCAGCTTCACGCACGCGCACGCACACACACACACCGACACACAATCACTTGTTCTTTGATTGATAAAACATATTTTATTCCTATTTTTACTTCGGATTTTTTCTCACGCACGTTATATTCAGTTCATTATTTTCTTGACTTTAGAAATCATTTCTGATTGTGCAGGGATCACTCAAATATGTCCTTCACACATGCAGGAAATAATCTGCATCTATTATATTATATATTATATGTTAATGAAGGCGTGTCAGGGGAGGTGTCTTATCTGCGCTCAGTTACATGTTAATTGTGATGTACAAAAGAAATGTGTGTGGATTCAGGCTTATGCACAGTTTGATACATTTGGATTTTTTTGTGCGTACGTCGTTTTCTGGATTTGACCGTACGCCACGTTTCAGTAAGAAATCCACRCAAGTCTTTGTACATGAGGCCCCAGGTCTTTTAAAAATGCAATAGGTTCTATAGCTGTAGCACACAAACCTTTTCAATATTTTTTTTTATATTCTACCAACAGCTATGTTGCAGCCAAAACAATAATAATCCTTTTTTTGTTGTTGTTGCTGTTCTGACTTGCCTGAAGCCACATATTCAGTTTCATATAACACACTAACATATTACACTACACCTGCCACTTGTCTATAACAATAATTCCAMATACAGTCAAGGAGCCTGTCGTACCACATCCTCCAACACTTCACTAACTGTTTCTATCTGAATCAGCAGCTGTGGGAGACACTTCACTGAAGAGTATCAGAGCCTATGTGAGTCTCTGTTTGTGGCTTTTGTTTTGAATGATGAGTCTAATTGTAAGGATTGCACAGTGAAGAGGTTAAAGATTGTCAGCCATGGGGAAAGTGGCTATGGACTTGACCAGWCCTATACAAAGATGCTCAGCCCTCTGGAAACTCAGTGCTCAGCAGGCAGGGTAACAACAGACCACAACTTTTAATTTGTCAGCAACAGACAACATGCTTACAATGAAGTCAACACTGAATGACAAACTACCTATATAACATATTACTGAGSATATTAAGGAGCTTCAACCTTGCTTGAAACAATACTTAGTTTTGTATCTACACGTGCAGTCTGAAGAGTACTGTAGCTCAGCTTGTTACTGATGATTAGAGGAAGTTAAACAATGGCTTAGCATTTAAAATTATTTATTTATTTATGATGAATATAATAAGACTTGGGGGCACATCTGTGTTGAAGACATAAGAGTGAGTTTTCTTGGTCATCAGGAAGTGCATCCTTTGTCTGCAAAGGTAGAGTCGATAGAAAACATTCCATCACCAATGACCAAAAAAGAACGAATGAGGTTTTTAGGTTTGGTGGGATTCTACAGAAGTTTCTGGAGATTATTTTTATTTATTTACATTTTTTTTACCATAGTTGCACCATTGACAGATCCGTTGAAGACCAATGTAACAGGTCTGGTCCACTGCTTGTCGACATGCTTTTGAAAATGTAAAAATAATCCTATGTCAGTCTCCTGTTCTGATGGCCCCAGATATGAGCAAGACATTCAAATTGCACGTTGATGCAAGTAATGTCAGTGCAGGTRGGGTGCTTTTGCAGGAGGATGAGCTTGGGAATGACAAACTTGTGAATACTGTATCTTCGCAAAAATGTTCAATAGGCACCAGTTAAACTATTCAGTGAAAGAAAAAGAGGCATTGACACTGATTTGGTCATTCCAACATTTTGAGGTCTATGTAGGTTCAGGGCCTGTAGTAGTGTACACAGATCATAACCCTTTAACCTTTTTGCATTCTCTTTGCAGTCCAAACCAGAGGCTAGTTAGATGGTCTTTGTTCATGCAGGCTKTTTCACTGGACATTAGTCATTTTAAGGARACAGACAACGTAACTGTGGATGCATTTTCCAGGGGTCTGTGTTTATGTACAGTTGTGTAAATAGCTATTTTCTTTACGGCACCAGTTCTTGACACTGACAGAGGATTTTGGAAGAGGAAAGTTGGAAGTGGTGTTTGGCCAGGAGGGTGTGTTTGTGCTATAAGCTCTCAGATGCTGCATTTGCTTCAACCACTCGCTTAAAAATAAGAGAGAGAAAAAAAAGTGACTTGTTCGAATGCCGACTACCAGGAAGCAGCAATTTATAAAGATAGTCAAATGGCCAAAACCTCATAAAAGGGGGAAAAATAGACTATTTTTCATGGTGAAATGTGACTGATAAAAACTTTTGAGCTTAATTCTGGACCAGTTTGTGAATAAACAAGATCGAGTGACAAGTGTCGGACTTTATTTATTTTTTCTGCATTGGATTCATTCCAGGTACAAATCCCCTGTAGTGACGTATGCAGTAGCGGGGGTGGGTGTATGGG